AAACTGGTTATCCAAATTAAGAGGGATTTCTTAAACAAAGGGAATTTCTTAGACGACAGTGGCAGAATTACTTAAGACTTTAATATAATTGTTTAACCTCCTGTTTGTTGTGTAAAGGGTATTTTATTAAAAAAGCCTAAAATAAATTTTAGTATAAAATCCACAGAAAACTAAATAAATGTTACCATTATCTGAAAAAGACAGGTCATTTTGCAACAGGTCGTTTGTTTCTAAGAAAAAAAAACTAATAAATAACAGAAAAGCACTTTGCTCTTTAAGGTAATCTGCAATCAAACATCCAATCAAAGCCCTGATGGAACACTTAATTCAAAATTTTAAAAGTCTGAACGCATTTAGCCTGTATCCTTAAAAAAACTTAAAATGTGGAATCAACTTGCTTTTCTTCTTATCTTACAGTATTTTTTCAGTCTGAACAAACATAACATTCCCAGTTATTGCCAACTCCGTTTTATTCCATTAAAATCCATTTTAGTTGCTATATCGCAGCCTCTGGCTCACTCTGTGGACACTGACCTTACTTTCTTCTCTAACACAGGCTAATTTTAGGATTAATATACAAGTTAGACATTAAAAGAGAGTCGTGTGCTGAGAAAGGCTGTAAATGTGCACAGAACTGTTCTAAAAATTTACTTCATTAACCTGTAGAACATAAAGATCAATAGAGTAGAATCCCACAGGTAGTATATTATGAACAGAATAACATACCTATACATTCAGCTCAATACTGTTACTAATGTGGCTGTGCAAGGGCCTGAATAATTCAGATGAGTACAAATTTAGGTTTAGCACTGGCCTGCTGACATTTGACAAACGTAAAAGTAAAAAGCCCATGCCTGTGAAGAGCAGCACTAAAGGGAAAACCTCTTGGCTTTTAAACTTTGAACCCCCACAGCAGGGTATTGGTCTAATGAGAAAATTACAGACTAAATGTGCCACAAAAAATTGTTAATTTTATGGCCACCTGGGAAAACGTGCTTTCATATGCAGCCAAATAAAAGCCAATAAATTTCCAAACCAGACCTAAAGACAAAATGTGACTTTAAAAAAAGTCAAAAGCCGACCTGCGTGGTATTAATCTGGAAAGCCACATAAGCCTCTTTTGAGAGTGATTTACCAGCCACAGAACTGGGATACTGTTATTCCAAGTCTGTTTCAAGTATACATCGACAAGTCTCCTCCTAGACCATAACATCAAACCATAAAGCCGTTATAGACAGTGAACTCCATGTTTACTAAAGTTTCAATAAGAACACCTTCAACTCAATTGAGAAGATACACGGCTCTTCAAATAGGCTCCACAACTAGGGGAGAAACGAACCACCCAACTCCATCTGAAAGCTGGTTTCTGCTGTTCTCTTTTGATGTCACGGTTATGTGCAGTCATCCATTTTACAGAAAATCAGTTATTCGTAAAGAAATTGTGTGTACAATACTGTACAAACTCTCCTATTTGTATTTTACTTCTGTTTTAAAATATATGCTTTTTGATTTTCATTTTAGTTAATATGGGCCATGATTATGAAACACCTTTTTTTGGCCTATTATTCCACAGTTAGGATGCATAAAAAAACCCAACCCTCCACAATTCAGTTTGCACACTAAGGGTAACTGTTAGGATCAATATCTTTAAATGCTGGTACCTTCATTAACCACTTTTGTGTACTGTAACAAGTATATTAATTTATCCTTCCTTTCGAGACTTCATTTTCATTGGCTGTTACAAAACGTAACAGTGAAATTGCTGTTAAAATGAAAACAACCGAGAAGTAATTTAAGTAAAATAAAATTTGTGAGGCTAATCTGAAAACCAAAACTGTTATGTTATCTTTTATGCTATGGCAGCCAGCTGGTTTTTAAGGAAAAGTGCAGAACGAGATATGAACATAAAAATAACGGTCTTGATACATCCACATTTGAGATTCCAGGTGAAATTCACAGAGAAGTTAATGTAGTCTTTGCTTTGTAGAATAGATTTTGAATCTATCAGACACTTTATCTTCATCCCCTTGTCTTGTTAAAAAAATAACATAATATAAGAAGTTAAAGCTTTTGTTTGACATGCTGGCACAAAATGGCTGCTGCGTTCCTTCACAAACATGGCTGCACTTAAATGGACACATAAGTAACTGTTATTTGGAGCTGAATGAAATTAAATTCCCAGTTTAAAAATATATTTTTTTATCTGTTTTACATATGTACATGGCACATAAAAGGCTTAAAAAGTTAACTTCCATGAACTTTTAAGTGGAATAAAAGTATATACCAATACAACTGCTGTTTCTTTCTGTTCGTTAAAGAATATTTTAACCCTCTACATACTACTGTTAATATTCATACATTATATCTGTAATACCTCCATTCTGTTTTCATTTACTATTTGAAATCAAACCCAAATGAAACTCCAAACAGGGTGAAACTGGATTCAAAACTAATTCTCTGGAACTTTTAAACTTAAAAGATAATATTTTTGTGTCTTATTTAAAAATGTTGATTGCGGGAACATCCCAACATCATCTGGTGTTAGGAGTCAATATGTTTCTGCTGACATTTTCTCAAATTTACTCCCCACATTACATAGTTATTTACTTCCAAAACACATATATGGAAAAAAAGCACTGAGGTGATCAAAGATCTCACGTTCATTTTATAGCACCCTCTCCTGAGTTCCTTGTTGTTTGTCTACAAAGGACAATCTACTAGTCATTTTCTCCAAAATTTCAAATCTGCTTCCAGGCAGACTAAGGACACTTTTCAGGCCTGAAATCTATGGTAATCATTAGGGAGCCAGAAATAGGGGCAAAAAGCAACAGCAGTTGGGCAGATAAATAAACAAATGTGAGTTTATTTTGACACAACCACTGCCAACTGCTGCAAAACAACACCAGCAGTATTTTCACACCTGGGCAGTTCACAATTTACAATCACCCCCCATAAACCTAAAGGACAGCAGTACTCACTGATCCTCCTACATTTCAACAGCTCTATGTCATGCACCCTCTCCACATGAAAACCTAAAAACAAGTATGCTCTTTATGTTCTAATCAAATAATGTTTGTAAACGTTATAAAATACTATCCTATACTTTTTTTTTACTTTTATTATATGACACAATGTACATTTAAAGTTGATAATACAATATTTAAACCATTAAATACATACAATATGTAAAAACTTAAATGTCCATGTATAAGACAAGTATCATGCTACTGAATTTCTTGCCACAAGATGTAAAAAAACCCAACATAATCTGGTCCTATATTAAATTCTTATTCTTTTTCATAAATGCAATTGTAACTATTAACAAGTCTCCTTTCTCTCTAGAGCATACTAAAAAAGAAAACTGTAATTTGGACCTAATATCTACACATCTAAAACATGAAATTAATAATAAATTAATCATTAATTAAGAGTACTTCCTCTTCTTCAATTTTAAACATTATGTTTACCTTCATTGACCTGTCAAGATCCATAATAAATTAAAGAATGACATATTTTCCCCTGTACTTTCGTGATAGTTTGCAAAACTTTTTTTTAAACTTTTGCCCTAGAGGTCCATTTAGTTATGTTTGTCGAATATGGAAATCATGTATGAATGAAGCCTAAAGCTCGTCTGTGCTAGGATTTCGTGCTACATTGTGAACTAGCAATATGGTATTGTTCGATACAGACTGAATGTTTAGAAATAATTTCAAGGCAAATTCAAATCAGTATAAACTGGAAAGACCGTCAATAAAGCTAACACTAGATCCCCTGGCAGACCTTGAATAATATGAATCCAAATACAGCATCCTTAATATCCCTAGAAGAAAAACGAACCAAGACCTAGATCTACCTAGACAGATTTCAGTGCAGCGCACAAAAAGGCAGACCTGTTAGGTTCCCAAAGCGATCTGAATCGCAATCTCTCGGAACTGATAACTGGAGACCTTTAAACAAATACTAACACGCGGTTACCTTTCAGAAAACTTTAATTACTTAAGTAATACTAAAGCAAGAAAAGGTTCAATGTAGATGCCACTCTTAAAACATTAATGAATGTATCTGCTCTGTTCGTCTGGCGACGAACGAGATTTTATTTTGAAAAAAGTGATGGAAAGGATAAATTGCCAACGTCTTTTTTTTTTCTTAACAGATCTCGGACTGTGTTTTTTCCCCTTTCTGTCTTGTACAAAATAAAAAAACAATCAGAACTACTAATCGTCGGCAGTCGGTAGTGCTGATCCGAAACCTGATGCATTACTAAAATGTGTTTCTGATCGTGTATTTTCCATCTGCAGAAAATTAAATTGTATTTAGCCTCTCCCAATTAGATATCGCATGCATTTTATTAATATGTTTAAAATACTTTATGAATTGTATTGATGAAGTACTGATATTTGAAGCTAGATCGGCTGTCGCACTGTACGGAGGGGGTAAAACTCGTTCCTTTCTTGATAACTAGAGGGCCTCTAGCCTATTTTACCTGCTACACTAGGAATCAAACAGCACGGTGCCTAAATGTCCCGGTGTTACCGTACTATTTAATTCAAACAAAAATATATGCGATTAACAACCAAACCTTGAAAACGCTGTGTAGATTAGGAAAACCCTAAATGTTGGATTTGTCTTTCGAACATACCTTTCCCTACGCTTTAAATATATTCCATTATTACGCGTGTAGCTGGTTTTCACAAATCTTGGTTGGGAGCTACATCTATTCTGTATTGTATCCGCTTAAAATCTATACTGTAACTATTGTAAGGACACACTCTTTCAGTTACTTCGACCATAGTGTAATAACCATTTTTGAATGAAGGGAATACTTTTGCAGTGTGTGCTTCATTCGAAAAACAATTGTTGTATGAAACCGCGTACATTATTCCCTGAGTGAAGTACGAGACTGACTATACTATAACCGAGAGTACCGAAGTCGGAATTTCTTTTGAGCTGGGAACAAGGTACGATACATATCGTGTAAAAAGCTAGTAGATTACACTTACTTGGGATTTTGTGAGCTCCAAAACACCGAATCCAAGATTTTTGCTAAAGGCAACGCAGATCTGCACATGGCAATCAAAATCCAGAGGTAATACTTCCAACAGCACCTCACGCCAGCCATCCTAAATTTAGTTTGTATGGTGAATTCGCGAAGTTGATAGAGATGGATACGGCGTAAATCCCGCTCGATGTTCTGATCCAAATTAACAACGTCTCATGTACTTTATTCGGTTTGCCACCTGGATTTGTGCTGAACTCATAGATGAAGCACCAATCAATGCAAATCCGAGGTCTCGCCTTTGTTGCACACTGATCGTGCTTGGTTAAATTGCAGCACAGGTTATGTATGTTGGGTTACGGAGAAACAGATGTATTGTTCAGAATTGCAAAACAGTTCTTCAAAGCACTGCTGCTCCCATTTCAGCCTGCCATTGAAAGACAAATTGGTGTGTTGTCGCAAATTCAAAAAGTTCCATAAGTTTCTCCTTCTTTTACGTGTTCTGTAAAGTGGATATAGTGCGACTGCGAGACAGGTACCCTGCGCGCTCCAGACGTATCTCGCTGATTTTTATAAGAACGTTATTGTTTCACAAAACAGCAATTCTTTACTCCTCTTTTTGTTGGGAATTTTAGTTTCTTGGTTAACACGCTCCGTGTGTGCGCTGAGAGTCACTGTCCATTTAAATCGGTAAACAAATATCCATCCTTTCGTTATACCAAGGATGAACAGCCAGAAAACTCCACTGGATGGGTTTCACAAACGTTCAAAGTGCTTCATTAACGTTACGCTCCTAAACGTTTGCCTCGGTGGCTATCCCGTATACTCTCGGTTCTTGAGCAGAATGTTATCCTTCAAGACTCCCGTGCTGTACAATTCCAGTGACTGATTATTCTCAAAATACCTTGTTCTCCATCGTGCCTTGTGCATTACAGCTCATGTGCGAAGTCCACGCCAAACTGCTGATTCCGAAAGGTAGCTATATAGTTCAGTTCGTTCACTTTAAGGTGGTCCGTGAGAGCCGCTCTTTCAGTATAATGTGCAAAAAGAAAAAAAAGGAGGATCACACACTCATTTGGCTAGTACTCGCTCTCCCTTGCTCTGAATATGATTACAGTCACTGAATTCTTGCCAGCATCCCTCAAACTGCGCCCCGCCTCCTCGCACTCACTGCAAGTGTAATCTGATGCTCAGGCAAGCAGAGGACAGCCCCGGTTTCCCAACCAATCACGGAATAATTTTGAGGGTCCTCATCTAGCATGACAGTTCTACTACCTTAAATTCTCAAACTGTTTTGGCCAAATATTGTAGCTTCGGTAGCATTTGTTGCGAAATTCTTATCATTTTTAACTAGTATTATTAATGTTATAGCGTCACGCACTTACATTTGATCGCTCTGCATTCCCTCCAAGCATTTTTTCTTTTACTTTCCCCACAGGTGCTATGAGCACATTCTTAATCTGAAACCTTTCCAAGATAACTGAAAAATAAAACTTCTGCAGAATGCTTGAATAATTAGTGAATTAGGTTACATGTGAAATCGCTTTAGAGGTAATATTAATCAGAGTTTTATGGTACTACTTAAATCATATACCAGTAAGTTTAAGTACATCTGCCATTTTATGACGGGTAGGAATATTTCTAAAAAGACCCATAGATCAACATTATGTTTGATGTTGCAGTCTTGCTTTAGGTCCTCCGGTGTCCTTTCCTTTCACATTATTTCTGTCTTTTAGTGTTTGTTCGCGTTTTAAGACAGACAGTATTGATATTTGTTGAGCTCACTTGTATGGTAAACTCCCGCCATATTCTGTAAAAAAATAAAACAAAGTGTATGTAAGATAATTACTACAAACGAATTGTCCCCTTGAAGGAAAACCTACGATCACGATGGCTAAATTTATTTAAATGTCAGTAACCTGCATATGTTTAGCTTAAGGTCAGAAAATCATATATATATATAGTGATTTGTATTACTATCAATTAACAATATGTGGTTAATTTATATTTTGAATTTACTGAGAAATATCCAGTTGTTTGCTCAAGAAAACAAGGGAAAAAAACAAATTCAAGTACTTTTCTTCAGGCCTCGGCCTGTTTTATATGAACCAATGTCGCCCTCTACCGGTAATCTGTGGAAACACGCAACAAAAATGTACTACTTTGTCAGTTGTTGTTTGTTCTGTATTAAAAAAAGAACAAGTTTTGATAATCTATGATGAACTTTTTCAACGATTTCATTTTCGAGAGAACTTTGTATTGCCATGGATCCACCACTGTAATCGGAAAACAGCTCTACGATGTACTGTTATATAAAGTGTAAGTAGCTTCTGTTTTCTTACATATTTATGTCATCCGAAAGCAAAACATAATAATGTAACAAGTCTTAAAAGTCAGCGAGTCACTATGAATGATACTGCAAGTACAAAGACATCAAACTGAATAAAGAAGAACAGTTTTAATTTAATTCTCGTGAGAATCGAAAGCTTTGGCAGTTGCAGAGGTTTGAATCTCAAAGACGTTTGTACTATTAGAATGAGTAACATTATTAAATGACATCGTTATTTGTTTATCTCTTGCTTTTATTGCAGGATGCAAATATCTCCAAAAATGTCCTAGAATTTAAGAGGGTTTTTTGTATAGTGACAGCATTATGAATTATGAGATATGCCTTCATAATTGCATCATCAAAAAACATTCGTGAGGTTTCCCTGTTGTTTCTAACCCTCTAGAGTACATGTTCAAAGTCTTAAATTAAAGAGTAGGCTGCAAAGCACTTTGTTTCTGCTTTTTCATTGTTATGTGTACCTAGGGAGCATTTAAGCTTTAATACAGTGCCTTGCAAAAGTATTCAGACCCATGCATAGTTTATATATTTTTTTGTTTTTAAAGCTTTTAATCGTGACACATTAAAGTATCAATGGATAATTATAATAATAAAAATAAATAAATTAATAATTAATATTAAAGTAAAATAGAAAAGTCACAGTTGTATAAGTATTTAAACCCTTTAATTTAGGTGCACAACATTATGTTAATGAGCAACACAATTTGTCGAGTTGCTCTTTCTGTGTGCAATAATAGTGGTTCACATATTTCAGAATAAATACACCCAAGTCTATGAGGTCCCTTAAACAGGTTGTAAATTTCAGGCTCAACCATGAAGGGGAAGGAACTTTCAGAACAAGTCAGGGATAAAGCAGGGCATAAAAAAGTCCTTCAGTAACACTTTGAGAATTAAGAAGTCAATAATTAAAAATGGAAAGCACCAAGACCAAGTCAGGCTGCCCCTTCAAACCGAACAAATAATAAAGGAGGAAACTAGAGAGGGACAGCACCATGAGGCCAATGGGACTTTTGAAGGAGTTACAGAGTTCAGTGGGAGAAAATGCCCATAGGTCAACAGTACCTCAGTCAATTCACAAAGAGAGTTTGTCTAGAACTGAAGAAATACATCTCAAATCCATCATGGCGTATGCAACAGAACACCCAAGTGATACTGAAACATGTAGCAAAAAGGTTTGTGTTCAACAAGACAAAATTGCAATTTTTGGGGTATAAATGCAAAGCCTTACCCCAGACCAGTGTATCACTGGGTCAACACTGTTATTACAGTCAAGCATGGTGGTGGCAATATCATTTTACAGTTATGTTTCTTCAGGAGGGACTTTGAAACATGTCAAGTATGAATGTTTCAAGGGAAGTCCTAGTGAAAAATGCTTCAGCCCTAAACCTAAGCCACAAATTCGCCTATCAGCACAGTGATTCGAAGCACAAGGCCAAAGCTACGTTGGAATGGTTTAGGAATAAGAAAGTGAATGACTTGAATCCTATAGAGAATCTGCGAAAAGACTTGAAAACTGCAGTCCATAAGTGATACCTAAGCAACCTGAGAAAGCTTGAGGAAATCTGCCAAGAGACATGGGCCAAAATTGCAAGTTTGCAAAGGCTTACCTAAAAAGTCTTGCGACTGAAATTGCTGCCAAAGGTGCTTCCAAAAAATGTTGAGTTCGTGGTTCTGAATACTTATGGAATCAACATGTTTCAGTATTTTCTTTTTAGTTCTTGCTCACAGTTAGTCCCACTTATCTTACTGTTAGAAGTCAGGGTTTGAATAAGATCTTAATTTAAAAAATGTGCATGGATTACTTTGTGTTTTATTCAACAGAAATTGCCCACCCTAGGAAGGGCCTCAATGCGCTTGTAAAGCACTGTAGATTAAATATATAGAACAGTTGCATATGCTTATACTATGGTAGAGGATCAGTTGTCTTGAAAAAGGTCACTGGAAGTTGTGTAAAATCTTGAATAATACATTCAATAGAAGGGATACCCTGCAATTTGCATTTTTGTTTCTCACTGCTTACAAAACTGTGTTTAATGGGCTGTCCTGGTATTCCACTATGCAAATGCCGCTTAGCACTGTACAGTAATTTATGAAAATAGGATGCAACTGTCATATCCAAATTGCTGTGGGCTTTTAGTAAAATGAGGCTAAACATGGCTGTCTGTTTGCTTTTTCTTTAAATGCATGAGATGTGGGAACTTTTTTCCCATTTCCGTAGTACTGGAAAATAATGACGTGGATAATGACTGAAATAGTTGTTTATTATACAATTACATAGTATTGCAATTGTTTACACAATGGATATTGTTTTTGGAGATAAGTGCCCATTTCTATCTTGGATTTAGATTTTTGTGTTTAGCAATTAACAAAATCAATGAACAAGTGATTGATAATGTGACATTGTAAAGGGTGTTGCATGAACTTATCCAACATACAAGAAGTGATTATACAATAACATGTATTAGCTTAGCTGGTAACAATTGTAGGATGACACAGTGGTGGAGTGGTTAGCATTGCTGGCTCATATTGCTGGAATCTGTGCAGAGTTTGTAATGTTTTCCCCATGTTTGTATGGGTTTTCTGCTGGATGCTCCAGTTTGCTCCTATAGTCCAAAGACATACTAGTAGGGAAAAATATCCCTGGTGTGAGTGTGTGCTAGTCTGTGTCTGTGTGTGCCTTGCGATAGATTAATAACCATCCAGGGTGTAACCTTCTTTGTGCCCGTTGATTGCTGGGATAGTCTCTGGCTCCCCCACAATCCTGTATTGGATAAAGCCATCAGAAAATGGATGGATGGTAACAATTGTAGGCATTGAAAAAAGGCTTATATTAGTGGCAACACAAGTCAGAGTTTCATTACATTTCAGAAAAATCATTAACAAGCTAAGAAAAAAGAAAATACAAGAAATGCTTTCTAATGTGCATTAAGAAGTAATGTCAGTTTTTTTACTTACAAATCTACCTCCTCTGTTATTTTTCTGACAAGTTTAGTTTGTATTTCAAGACCAAAATATGGATAGATTGTACTGTTTGTTACTTTATTTTGTATGCCTGGTTAATTATTTGTGCATAATTAATCATATCTTACTGAGTGCAACTAAATGGAACCTTAGTCTTCCATGATTTACTTCATTAAAACAGAATGATTGGCAGTTATTTAATTCATGCCACATATGCATTTTAATTTTTGCACACACCAAGTTTAAATAATTAATAATAATAATTATAAATGGTGAATGTTTAGCACTCCAATTCATAACAAAACATTTACATGTAATTCAGATTGTTTAAAGCTATTTTGGACATCGTCTGTGTTACATGCATATCTTTGTTTGAGTGTACTGAGCCAACAGTTGGCAATGTAGCCTTTCTTTTTTTCACTGAATTTGTTTTTCTTAGAATTAAGTGCATTTGGAAGTGAATCTAAAATACATGTTTTGTAATCATTCTTAAAATTATGCAGATTGATTTTTTTTGGGGTTTTATAAATTATTCATTTGAGTCTGATTTGTAATCTTTCTGTCATTTAGAAATGCAGAGAAGCTTTTTAAAAATCACTGAAAAATGTTTTCACAAGCCTGACTAGTCCTGATCTCACGTTAATTAGTATTAGATTATGAAAATTTACTAATTGGGCTGGCCTACTGTTGCCTCAAATTTTATTCTTCCTGGAATCCTGTTATTACAACATGTATAACATTCATGAATGAAATGCAGGTCTAAAATGTGATAGACTGCTTGCTGTAATGTTTGTGAGTTTTGTGGTGGTGGCTTTGATCAACT